ACTTCTTATTTTGCCAAATCTTTATTTTCAAACTTACTTTTGCAAATATTATCATAGCATACAGAAAATGATTTTGTTAAAAATATCAAAAAAGATGGACATAAATCTAGAAAAAAGGATTTTAAGTGAGTACAGTCGTTTATATGGAAAAAATCTCAATAATCATCTTTCTTTTAGCTTTGATACATTAGAACTTTTATCACGGAATGATGCTCATTCTGTGAGCTTGAATCTGAGAACCACAGATGTAGCTAATGAGAAACTAATGAAAAATATAAAGTAAGAGGATTACAGAAACTTAAAAAAACCAAAACTGTTACATTTCATTTGTACTACTAGTTATGTGCTTTGTAAACATTTTCTAGTTTATATAATTGCCTATCTCATTGTCTTACTATGAAGACTAAGATGTCAAAGGGGCATTAAGCATGTGATAAGAGTTATATTGGAGGCAGCTAACCCAAAGGGGATCAGCTGTGGCTTCAGATACCACAGACAACAGCTACATTTCCTCCCTGAGGCAGAGCAAGTTAATTCAGAAAGTCTTATCAGACTCCGAGAATGCTGTACTTAAGCCATTCTGAAAAATCACTTGAAAAGATACCATTTTAAGTAATTTTTAGACTTAAATCTGGATCATTGTACTGAGAGATTAATTTAATTTGCTTGGTAGTTTGTTCATTTTCACCCTGTTAATTCCACAGTGGAGGAGGATCGTCTTTTCATATACATGTGTCTTCCTTGCAGGACTTGAGTTTGCAGAAATTTTGGTGTAGAGGGTGGTGCTGGAACCCATCCCCAGAGATAACTAGATTCAGTTTTATTCTAAAATTTTTATTTTCTGGGTAGAAACATTTTCATGAAGTTATAATTATATTCATTTTCTTTCTCAGCCCAATATTATTAAGAATGATGAATGATCAACTGATGTTTCTAGAACGAGCATTTATTGATCCATTAGGGTTACCAGACAGGCCTTTTTATAGGTAAGAAAAAATATGACTCCCTTCTATAATAGCACATTATCTTATCTTTATTTTTATTTTTTTGCACTGTGGAAAAATGTAGTTTATTTCTTGCAAGCAAATAGAAAATTTTAAAATATAGGTAGTAAGTGATAGTTGTAGTGTTTCTTCATATGATGTAACATGAGTTTTGTATATCTTTGTTTTGCATATCTTTCTGATTATTAAAGAATATATATTTATTTAGAAAATATAGAAGATCCAGAAAGCCGCAGAGGAAAATAAAAATCTCTCTAATTTTATCAGAAAAAATATAAATTCATGGTTATAGTCTTGTGTGTATAATATTAGCTCCTTTCCTATTTTAAATATATTTTTGCTTAGGTATACACACAATCCAAACATCTCTCTCTATGTATATAATGTATATAATACATATATATTTATTTTTTTCCCTAATGTTGATATTTAGAGGCTTCATTTCCTTCTAAATCCTTACAGTTGCATTTTTTCTACCAAATACTGACTGTCCCCTGATCTTCTAAATATTGCAGAATGAGATGGATCATTGGACAGCCAAAATTGCCCCTAACTTTCTTTCTAGAGATTATCAAAGGGTCAGGCTTGGGAGTAAGAGCATCTTCCAAACAGGTTGACTGGATTGCCAATGGCAGCATATTTTTGTCTATCATCCCTCCATCCCACTTTTTTGTTGTTGTTGTTGTTTTCCTAAGAGACAGGGTCCTATTTTGTCTCCCAGGCTGGAGTTCAGTTGTGCAATTGTAGCTCACTGCAGCCTCAGACTTTTGGACTCAAGCAATTTCACGTCAGCCTCCCAAGAAGCTAGGACTGCAGTCACATGCCACCATGCCCAGCTAATATTTGTACTTTCATTTGTAGAGACAGGGTGTCCCTATGTTGCCCAGGCTTATCTAGAACTCTTAGCCTCAAGTAATCCTCCTGCCTCAGCCTCCCTGATGTATGGGATTACAGGCATGAGTCACTACTTCTGGTCTTATTTACCTCTTTACTTTGGAATTTGTCCTTCTCCTCTAGGGCTATTACATGAACTGTCTTAGCCCATCCTATAAAACATTCTTGTGGTCATGTGGCACATTACAAAATTATTTTTGATGATTCTTCAAACTATCTGTTAAGTATTCTAACATGGTAGTGTGACTGTTTGAAAAAGGACCAAAGAGAAGAAAACACAATAGAGGGTTGGCTGATCATAAACAAGATTGTAATGATCACAATTGTGCTATAATTTAGGAGGTAGTGTGGTATATTAAAAAATCAGCAGTTGTTATATGCCTTGAGAGAAATAATTTAGTTACTTGATCTCTCAGACCTCAGTTTTCTCCTCTGTGAAATACTAATAGCAACTGTGTAGAGTTTATTTCTAAGTATTAGAAAAATTGTTTTAATACCAAGCATGATTGCTGTGGTTACTATCATCATTGTTACTATTGTAGCACTGAACCACTTAAAGTTATCTGTTTGAAGTAAAAATATAATTAATTACTATAGATTTTGTAGACTAGTCTTCAGAGACGATTGAACTTGAAAGTTTGGTTGAAAGTCACTTGTTCAAATTGTTATAGGGATATGCAATCCAGGAATTGCAGAGTGCTCTTCTGTTTCTCTTGTGTGTCATTTGGTTACCTAATAAACAGCAAAGGATTTCATCAACAGGCATGTCATCTATGCTCCAAGCAGCCACAACAAGTATGCAGGGGAGTCATTTCCAGGAATTTATGATGCTCTGTTTGATATTGAAAGCAAAGTGGACCCTTCCAAGGCCTGGGGAGAAGTGAAGAGACAGATTTCTGTTGCAGCCTTCACAGTGCAGGCAGCTGCAGAGACTCTGAGATAAGTGGTCTAAGAGGATTCTGTAGAGAACCCACATTGAATTTGTGGATATGTCACTCAGAAAGAATAATGGTGGGTATATTGATAAATTTTAAAATTGGTATATTTGAAATAAAGTTGGATATTATATATAGTTATGTGAGTGTATGTGTGTGTTTATATTGTTTCTTTTATCTTCTCTTATGGTTTAAAGTAAAAAATTGAATTTCATAATTATAGAAAGTTATTCTGAAGTGGAAAAGTTTCACTCAGTATTAAATCTCAAGAGAATGGCCTAATATAGTAAAACTCTTATCTGGCATTATCAGAGAATCAAGTCTATTCTATTCATGTCGCTTCACACATAAGAAAACACCAGCATGTCATAGAGAACACTGGGAAATATGCATAGGACTATTCCAAGCCAGAGGCCTCAGACCCTGCGTAGCCACTCAGCCACCCAGGATCACTATCTCAGCACATTCGTTGGGAAATGGATCAAATTACACTTTTAGTAAATGTAATCACTCTATAGCATAAGAAATAATTATTTTTTATTTATATAAAAGGCTATACTATAACATATACGTTTAGTGAAAAATAGTAATTAAACCAACGTTTGTGAACCTAATAGCCATGTGAAGACAATAACATTTCCAGTATCTTTGGATGCCCCATGTACTAATGACAGTTGTGCTTTTGCATTTTCTTGAGTTTTATGTTTAATCTTTCCTCTGTTATTACTTATAATTTTATCACACATGGCTGTATCCTTTACATATTTTGGCATTATGTATTTTTGAACTTTTATAAAGACAATCATATCATGTGTATTTTTCAGGTGCTTGATTTTTTCATTGGCTTTTAAGGGTTCATGTATGTATCACCTCCGCTGTAGTTTGCCATATTTTGCTGATACAGAGCATTCATTCACGTGAGAGTAAGACTCAGGGTCCATCAAGACAGAGAAAACATACAATAATGTGAATAGGGAAAGTTAATATAAATAATTATTAATTGTAACAGCATTGGAGCAATGAAATACTGTCTAGTAAAAGGTAAAGAGAAGTCTCAAGAATATGTGATAAGTAGATATAGGGAATTGCCACTGTCTCCATGGTGAAGTTGGAGTAACCAATGAAGAGTCTCCTCACACTGTGGCCTCACTCAATGTTAAGAAGTCTCTGTGATGTTGCACTTGAAGAACTTCCTTCAAATGAACAGTTTCAAAATCCCCAGAAACTTGCCTTCAGGGCCCCTGTGTAAAGCAATTTATGAAGAAATGTCAGGCTAGAGGGGCTCTACTACAAATTTGGCAAAGGGAAGTATCAGGAGAAGCTCTTGGCTGCTGGGTTTGCCTGGCCACCATAAAGTGGGTGCCATAGCAAGAGGCCTGAACTATATTATCTGGCCACTGGGGTAGCCTCATAAGCTGCCTGCATCAGATGCTGGAGATGTCATTTGCATTGCCAGAGTTTGCCAAGCGTGCACACAGAAAGCAGATTGGAAAGCACCTTCTTGGAACGTCTCTCCAATACCTTCTACTCACAAAGTTTAACATCATAACATGTGACAAAGAATAACTATTTAATGGGCTCAGATCTATTTATGAACACAACCAAGAGTGAGTTTGGGGTGAATAACCCAAAGCTGGATAACTGGTACATAATAAAATGTATTTATTCATTTTTTGCTGGTGTATATTTGGAATGTTTTCTGTTTTTTGCTTCTGTGAACATGTCTCCTAATACAGATATTCAAGAGATTCCCTTTCCTGATGATATCTACCTACAGGTGGAATGTCTGGGTTATAAAGTTTGTGCATATTCAATTTTACAATGTCGAGCTTTTTCTAAGTTATTTTATTTATTTATATTCCCACTGGCAAAGTAATGTTATTCACAATTATAAAAAGTTTGGAAAATTGTGGCATGTTAAAGAAACACAAAGAACTCAGTTTTACTAGAATCCAAGGCATTTGTGGGAAGAACAGTCCATACATTGAGCACCAAATACATCACATAAGGCTTGTAAGACATCCAGAGTAATATAACTACTTTCCCGTAGTTTATCAAAAGCCCATAATAAAGTTAAGGAGGATAGGGATACGGGCACATCTGCATTTCAGAAAGCGTTCTGTCCTAGATGGATTAGAAGGGAATCCACCCAACAAAAGATTAGAACTTTTTTTTTTCTTTTTGAGACAGGGTCTCACTCTGTCACTCAGGCTGGAGTCAGCAGCACAATCCCAGCTCAATGTAATCTCTGTCTCCTAGACTCAGGTAATCCTTAAGCCTCAGACTCCCAAGTAGCTCAGATTACAGGCATGCACAACCATCCCTGGCTAATTTTTGCCTTTTTCTGTAAACATGGTGTTTTATCATGTATCCCAGGCTGACCATGAACTCCCCAGCTCAAGCTATTAATCTACCTTGGCTTCCCCATGAGCCACCATGCCAAATCCCAAATCTTTTCTCATGACAACATTTGCCATGTAGACTTTATCCCCAGAAAAGATAAGACTACCCTCATCCTTCAGGTCTCAGCTTACGTGTCACCTCTTCTAGGAATACTTCCAGGATGACTGCCCTTTCTCTTGTATCCCCTAACAGGCGACAAGCTCCTTAGAGACTGAGTCTTGTTTTTTTATTTTGGCTCCAATCCCTATCAGTATGGAGAGCCCATAGATGACACTCATTTTGCGAGTAATCAGGGTGACGAGCATATGAGACTGTCCAAGACATTCTGTGCTTTGAAAAGAAGAGCTGAACTACACACTAGGATTTCCACAATGCCTTTGTTAATGGGGTTTGGTTGAGCATGCTAACAGATTTTTTGTGACATCATTGTTAGAAAGTTGGACAATATTGTAGATGTGTGATAAGGTGAATATTATTATCACAAAATATGGACCGAAATCTGCGTAATACTTGAAAGCTTTGTCAACTTTCAACCAATTTACAAGCACGCAATCAGCATCTCCCCAAAATATTTCAGTGGCTCAGGAACATACTTTGGCAACATGTTTAAGTCACTGTCATTCACAAGAGGTAGCGCAATGATAGGAACACAGTTTTTGTTTTGTTTTTTGAGAGAGTCTCTATCTGTTGCCAGGTTGGAGTGAAGTGGTGTGATCTTGGCTCACTGCAACTTCCGCCTCCCGGGTTCAAGTGATTCTCCTGCCTTAGCCTCCTGAGTAGCTGGGATTACAGGTGCCCACCACCAAGCCTAGCTAATTTTTGCATTTTAAGTAGAGTTGGTTTCACCAGGTTGGCAAGACTGGGCTCAAACTCCTGACCTCAGATGATTTACCTGCCTCTGCCTCCCAAAGTACTGGGATTACAGGCATGAGCCATGGCCTACAGCCAGGAACACAGTTTTTAGAGACAGATTGCCTGGGTTCCAACCCTAGTTCTCCCACTTACAGTATGACTATGGGCAAATTATTAAAGCTTTCTGTTATTAAGTTTCTTAATCTTTAAATGGGTATAAAATATGACCTATCTCATGGGGTTGCTGTAAGAATTAAATAAGCTATAACATGTAAAACACTTAGAACAGTTTTTAGCATATAATTAGTATTTTTTAGTTAGCTAATGTAATACTAGCACTTTTTCTCTCCTACCTTTTCTGCATGATGATACAGTTGTAGTAAAAATAGATGATAAATTTGGTAGCTTCCAGCATTAAGATTTGGAACTACTGTTCATTCTTCTATATGCATCTCATAAGTTGCTTATTGTTTAGTTCTAATACAGGGCATTCTACACAACATAACATAGAATTTTTACTGAAAAGTGAGAATACTAGAAAGCCTTTCCTCTCTATACTTATGTAAATAACATGTAACATTTTAAGCAGTGTTTGAAGTCATTTTCAAAGAATAAAATTTCTGGAAATGTCCTTATATGCATCTATGATTATTACCTTTTCTTAATTTTTTAGGATAGGTTTTTTGAAGCATAATGCTGATCAAATGACACTTCAGAAAACATGCTAATTTGCAATGCCATGCATTGATTAAAAAGATACCCATTTTATCTTTTTCTAGGATATGCTGGCTTTTAGAGTTATTTAATGTCTGTTAATATTTAAATGGTGACTTTTATTTAGATTTTCACTTTTTCAATTTCTAGCAAGGTTAGATAATTTTAAGTTTATAGAAGGAACCTAAATCCTAAAATATTAGATAGTGTATTAATACAATTATATATAAACATTGGTAACTTATTAAATCATGGTAAAGGACAACAAAATATTTGTATGGCAGCCCTGTTAAAAATAATTGTCATACACTATTAAAGATAATTATGCCTATAATTATTGCTTAAATGATTACAGAAGTTTTAATATATGAATTCATACATTGTTATGTATGTACATATATATGTAAAGTATCTGGTTAAAAATTATTCACAAAGGTGTAGGAATCAAAAAAACTTTATTTTCATACGAAGCAATTATTTCAAAATAGTCATAAAATAGTGAATATAAGGGAAATATGCTGATACAAGTAATTCCACCAATTTCTATGCATACAATTATTTGAATCACAACGAGCTCCTTGGTACACTCTTTTAAATGAGAGAGTTACACAGTACAGATGTGTTAGTAATCCCAGTTGATGTTTTGTTTTTGAACATATTCAGATAAATACAGCTAGGCACTTAGTAAGCAATTATAAATTTGTTTTAAAACAGAGTAAGAAATTTAAAATTTAAAACAGAGTAAGAAATTTTTAAAGTTACTATGTGATAAAAAAGAACATATTTAATGAAATATTTCTTTTAGTTAAAATGTTTCTTTGGACTGCATGCATTAAATCAACTTTTTTCCATCTTATCCCAAAGTCTTCTGTTGGGTTGTTAGCCTCCAACTATGTGTGTTTTTTTTTTCACTTTATAAATCTAAGCAGCCAATTTCACACCTTTCTGTGCAACCAAATCAATCTCAGAAAGTGGGTGTCATCTTGGTTGGGACCAAATACTTTTAAAGGACTCTTGTCCAGAGATTTCTTCTCCAGAGAGGACCCACTGGATTTGTGGCTGCTGAGGGCCAGGAGTTACTGCTGATGTAGATATTGACAGAGCTTCTAAACGTGAGACCATTCATAGAAGCCTTGCGAGTATGGAATTTACAGTAAACCCATCATGCTTACTTTTTCTCATAAAAATACTTTAAATGTTCCTGGCGGCAAGCTTGGGTCTTGTTTAGGTAAACAAGTAGACATCGACATAAAGTATCTTTCGTTTGTAATATATGGTTTGTGTTCCATTGCTATCTGATTATTTTTATTTGACTGTTTTCTGAATTGACTATTTTCTGTATTCAGAAAATAGTCAAATAAAAATAATAATAAAATCCAATTCTGTTGGATCATTTTAGATGTGAAGAAATATATTTCCAGAGTTTTACGCATTGATGGAACCCATAAAGTACCTACATGTTCACTAAAAGGTGGGCATATAGTAATGATTTTTATGTACAACAAAATAAAAGTTAAAAATTTTGAATTACTTTGAAAATTCTTGTTGCAAAGGTCTTATTTGCTGTCCCTTTAAAATCTTCAATTTGCAGACAAGATTTGAGAAGTGTTGAAAATAGATCCAACCAGCTTGTAAGGGCTCCCGAGAAACTGTGGCTTCCAAGTCACTATAGTGAACTATTGGAAATAAAGATGACTAGGAGGTGGTCATGCTTCCATTAAATGCATTTCTGGATTTTCTAGTATAGACAGTAAAGACTAATATATATCTTAACTTTTTGTTGTTGTCGTTTTAGAAGATAATTAATCATTAATTCTTGCTTATTATTATAGCTTAAATATTTACCATTTCAGAATGCAAAGGTGCCCTCTCTGATCATTTGAATTGACTATGGGAAAAATTTTCCTAAATTAAATAGATACTGTTTTCATTTAATTTTTTGAAAGGAAGAGTTTTGATATTAAAGTTAGAAACTCAAATTCAACCATTGATACGTTTTAGAAGTTGACAGCTGAAGTCAACTCTGATTGAATTAATTAAGCTTAGATAAAACCCAATCCATTTATAATTGTCTTCAGGAAACTTCACAGGTAAGTTTGGAGGCAGGGAGTACAGACTATTAGCATAAATACCAAGTACTTTTGCATATTATAATTATGAAATCATTGAGAGAGAGATGAATTTAGAAAGATGTAAACAGGAAGAGATTTGAGATGTGCTTCTTGGTTAATAAGCTAATATAAGTGACTCAGGAATCATGCAAGCTTTTACTCTCTGCCCAAGCTTTAGGCTTAAGTAATTTGGGTATGATTGAGAGCACTGGTTGTTTTTAAAAAAATACTATGAGGACCCTCATCTCATTTTTTCATTTGTATCACAGTTGCTTCCTCATATCTATGATTTTTATACCCATGGATTCAACTAACCTCAGATCAAAAATATTCAAGAGGAAGGAAAAGCAGTTGGACTGAACATGTACAGAGTTTTAAACATTTTCTCGTTGTTCCTAAAAAATATGGTATTACTATTTACATAACATTTACACTGTATTAGGCATTAAAAGTAATCTAGAGGTGATTTAAAGTATCCAGAGGATATGTTTAGGTCACATGCAAATGCTACACCATTTTCTATAAAGAGACTTGAACATCTTAGGATTTTGATATCTCCGGGAGTCCAGGACCCAACCTTTAATGGCTATTGAGGGAAAATTGTATAAATCCAGCATATTTGCATTTGGTATGACTAGGTTTGTGCTGGAGATAAGTTATTAGGTAGATTGGACAGAGCACAAACAAACAATGAAAACTGTTTACAAATCCTTTTTCCTCTCACCCGAGCAAAATAAATAAATGGCTGTGCTGGGAACAAGGCCAAGCTCCAATGAGCTGTCCTGGGTGCAGAGAAATCTCGGAGAAGCCCAACTTCAACACCAATATGGTCCTCAAGAAGCTGGTTTCCCTTGCCGGGCAGACCAGATCTCAGAACATCAATAGCTCACACAATATCTAGGATGGGCTGCTGAGGAATGCAGGATATGTGATGCCTCTAAGGCAGTTTGAAATCTACGGGACTGTGAATTGGAAAGATGAGGGCTTGTCACAATGCTGTTGATGAGAATGCAGGTGGTGGAGTTGGTGATTATTTAACGAAAATCCCAAGATACAAATGTGTCCTTTCAATGTTGCTGACTAATTTGACGGGTTTTTTTGTTTTGTTTTGTTTGTTTGTTTGTTTGTTTTTTGGTTTTTTTTGAGACGGAGTTTCGCTCTTGTTACCCAGGCTGGAGTGCAATGGCGCGATCTCGGCTCACCGCAACCTCCGCCTCCTGGGTTCAGGCGATTCTCCTGCCTCAGCCTCCTGAGTAGCTGGGATTACAGGCACATGCCATCATGCCCAGCTGATTTTTTGTATTTTTAGTAGAGACGGGGTTTCATCAGGATGGTCTCGATCTCTTGACCTCGTGATCCACCCACCTCGGCCTCCCAAAGTGCTGAGATTACAGGCGAGAGCCACCGCGCCCGGCCTAATTTGACGTTTTAATCATAGCTGTGCTGAGCCTTCACCAAAGGAGGTTTCCTTAGAAACATTGTCCAAATGTGTAGCATGGAGCTGTGGAGGAGGTGGTCAGCACCAATAACACTGGCTTCTGCTGCAAGCTTGACCCCTTCAAAGCCAGGTTATACAAAAGCCAATTTCTCAGGAAATTTACGATCTTGTCAGAAGAATCCCTTCCAAGTCTCTATTATGTTTCTATTACTTTTTATATCCAAAATGTTAATATGGAAAAAATCTGACCATTCAACTCTAACTCAAAATTACAATTCTCTCAACCAAATTCTTGTCTCATAGACAAAGGAATGAAATCTACAATAATATCTTTATTACTGCTAACCTTCTTTGTTATTTTACAGGAGAAACTTATAAAGTAAATGAATCCTTTGTGGAAAATCAGTCAAGAGACACAAAACAATCTAAATCAGGAAACTAGCAAAACTTATTCATTAGCGGTAAGAATGAAAATGTTTTTGGCCGGGCGCAGTGGCTCACGCCTGTCATCTTAGCACTTTGGGAGGCCGAGGTGGGTGGATCACCGGAGGTCAGGAGTTCAAGAAAATGTTTTCTTTGTTTTTATGCAGATAAACATAATTTTGGCTTATACTTTTTAGCTAAATTCAAACAACCAGTTAAAAGACTGTTGTTTCATCCTAAGAAAATGTAGTGATTTCAAATGATATAACAGGAGTCACAAATAGGCCAACATAAGCTAGTCCAAACACTTCTAGTATATTGGATAAACAGGGCATGGTATGTATCCTAGTTCAAATTTGAAGGTTGACAGAAACCTTTTCAGACACTGGAGATAAGACAACATTTCACTACGTTTGGGTTTGAGCAAGAGAAAAGAAATATAATAGTATATAGAGTAAAAATGTAGTAAAAGTAAAAAAAAAAAAAATCTGCATAATATGGTATATACCTAAAAGTTTTTAACATTTGGGAGAATCAGGTAAAGGAAAACCCTAAAAGAGAGAAGACTAATAGAGGAAATAACTGACTCAGTAAGACGTGTGAAGCATAAAGAAAGAAGAAGGAGGAGTCTAGAGGTTTTGATTTAAACAGGGAGAGAGAATAGGAACATTAAAAATCAATAGTCATATGTTCCCCTCCCTGTGTCCATGTGTTCTCATCGTTCAACACCCAATTATGGGTGAGAACATGCAGTGTTTGATTTTCTGTTCTTGTGTCAGTTTGCTGAGAATGATGATTTATGTATACCTATGTAACAAACCTTCACGATCTGCACACATACCCCAGAATTTAAAGTGTAATAAATAAAAACAAAAAAAAACAATGGTCAGAAAGGAATAGCAAATATTGAAGACTCTTTGCAAGAGAGAGGCAGAAAGTTTATAAATTACTTGCATGATTAAACTCAGAATATAATTATTTGAAGCTTTCTGTTTTCTCTTGAGAGTGAAGACGTAATCCTTTTAAGTGAATATCTCTGCAGAACTATGTGGCTTTATGGAAGGTGATGATAAAAATTCAATATCAAAAGATGCATCTACTTCTGCATGAGGAGGAGCAACTGCATCTGCAGGCACTGGACAGGGGAGCAGAACAGTTTTCCAACATCGACAAGACAGTTAATTGAGGATGACTCAACATATAGAAAGGATGAAAGACATGGATAGAAAGCTGTGGGAGATGTGCCACCTGCCTAATGGGGAGCTGCTCCAGGTGAGGGGGGAGGGTCCATCCTCTGAGACAGGAAGTCTTTGCTGGACAATGTTGCCAGGATGTGGAAATGTTACCTTCAATGTCACTACTCTCAGCTAAGTGACTCATGTTCCTTGATTCCCATTATTACATTTGTCCACGCATTTCTTTCTGCACATTCTAGTGATCACTGGGCAATGGTAATCTTTGTCATTTTAGTAGATAAAGGTCAAAATTCTCTTCAGTGTGATCAGGAATACTATCCACACAGAGAGATTCCCCCAAATCAGCAGAACTCTAGGTCAGGGGAAAGTAAGCTTTAGCTTTGTTAGTAATACTCCGTTTTTGTGCCCTAGTTCCTCCTCACTTTCTGATATCCCAAAAAACAGTGATTTGCTGAAGACATTGGGCTTTTCCCCTTGCCTCGGCAAGGTTTGTAAAAGTTACTTATCAGTGTCAGTGCACTCTGTTTCTCATGTGGTTCTCTGTTTTAATTGCTGTAATGCATGGTCAGAACTGTTTTTGAAAATAAGATTAGGGGATGATAACATAAGAATAAATGTAAAAATATATCAGTGAGGTTTACAGGGGGAAATTTGTGCCCACAATGTCATTTTGAAATTAGCAATAAACAATAGTTAATAATTGAGAGATACAGTTAATCATGAAATTATTATCAAATGCATTTTTTCTCTAGGTAGGTCTCTGCAGCAAATTAGAAGGAAAGTAGCTGACCTGTTCAACACTTATAAAATGCTATGTGGCCTGATGCCTTAATCTATATTGTAAGAAAAGAATATATCTAAAATTCCATGGCAGAAGGCTCCATGTTTTCCTGAAAATATTTTTCTAGGGATTGACATAATGTTTTGTATAATGTTCTTATTTAATGTAATTATTAGGATACATTTAATAATCCTACCACTGAATAAGAAAGTATTATATTATAAATGGCCAAAGGAATAAGCAGGTTATTTATTAAAGAGGAAGCAGGGGGAACAATTAAACGAGGGAGAAAATGCTTAAGTCTATTAGTATGTCAGAAGATGGAAAATCAAAGAGTAAATTTCCATAATTATGTATTATATTGGCAAAATTTCATTATTTAAATCTATCTCATAATAACCAATGGATTCTTAGGTTATATTTCCAAAAAAAACAGTGACAATGGAAAAGATCTGGGTTTCAGTGACTTTCCCCAGATAACCTACACCAGAAGTATCCTGTATATCTCTATATTAAGAGAGAACACTGGTCTTTTTATACTTGCTTCTTCGTATATTTGCATGTCATACTGTGCAGTAACTTCTGACCACAGGACATTAATACTATTCATCTTTGATATTGTACAATGGAGTCAGTGTTGCACATAGCAGACACAAAAGTAGAAACAAACATTTATTCATTATAGTTATTAGAAAGGGGATAAATGTTCACAAAACATTATTTATTGGCAATTTGGATGCTATGAGTACTAATCATAGACATGGAACTAAGGCTTAGTTTTAGAAAGTTTTACGTAATTAAAAATATTAAATATTTGCCTATATAACAACAACTTCTGGTGCTCTTCTGTGTGTGTGTGTGTGTGTGTGTGTGTGTGTGTGTGTGTGTGTACATCTATTCTAATGTGAGTCTCCAGAAGGTTGACTTTCTTAGTTTCTATGTGCCTGAAAAAGGACTCTTTCTTAGAAGAAAGTGTTGTTTTGGAAAGATTTTTTTGAGTATATAATTCTAGACTGACAATTTTTTATTATTATTTCAAATATATTTTCAACTTTTAGTCACTTGTACTCTTCCTGGTAAGAAATTGATGGACATATTTTTCTGTCTTTTCCTGATCATTACTTCTTTCTCCCTTTCATTCTTCTCCCTTCCTTCCTTCTTTCCTTTCTCTCTCTCCCTCAAGCCTGTCACTTTTTCTTCTCTCTTTCCCTTTTTCCCTTCCTCCTACCCTCCCTTGCTCCCTCCCTCCTCCCTCCCTTTCTTTTTTGCTTTCTTTCTTTTTCTTTCTTCCTTCCTTTCTCTTTCTTTCTCTCTCTCTCTGTCTCTCTTTCTTCCTTTATGCCTTTTGGCCTTCCTTCTTTTCTTCCTTTTTCTTATCTTTTTTTTGTTGTTTTCTTTGTTGATTTGCTCTTTTTCACTGATAATTGAGCTATTAGATTATGATGGATATTGCCATAGGTTTAAATTAATTTCTTTCTTCCTTTTGGGTTCATCAAACTTCTTGGATATATAAATTTTTAAAAATTTGTACAATTTTTGACCATTACTATTTGCACTTTCTTTTCTGTATTGACTTTTTGTTTTAACCTTTAAGTAATTAAATTACACACATATTGGGCCACTTGAAGTCATCTACGTCTGACTAATAAATCGACCATAGGTTAAAATTCTCCTTTCTCTCTCTTTCATTTTGTAGTTTTAAATGCTTTGCCTTTGGGATTGCTAATCCAATCTGATGCAAGTCTGATCTGCTGCTAATTCCAGACAATATAGTTCTCATTTCAGAGGTTGTATATTTTAGCTCTATTATACAAATTTGTCTGTCTTTGTCTATCATATATTTAGTTACTTTATATGAATATATAAAAAATGGTTATTTTAAATGTTGTAATGTCGTTGTCTGCTAATTCTAAAAGTTGTGTCAGTTCTGGTTCATTTTTTATTGATTACGTCTTTATTTTTATGAGTATTATTTTGCTATTTATTTGCATTCCTGGTATTTTTTTTAATTTTATTATAGACATAGTAAATCTTTAAACTGCCATTGTGTATTTTTGTTTTTCTAACAATATTTTTGAATGCTATTTCAGAGCACTGTTAAGATTTTTAGAAACAGTTTTATCTCTTTTGATCTTTCTTTGAGAATTTGTTAACCTGGATTGTGTTAAGGTTGAACAAAGTTCATTCTGGGAGAACATCACACACTAGGACCTGTCAGAGGGTGGGGGCAAGGGGAGAGACAGCATTAGGAGAAATACCTAATGATGGGTTGATGGGAACAGCAAACCACCACGACACATGTATACCTATGTAATAAACCTGCACTTTCTGCACATGTATCCCAGAACTTAAAGTATAATTTTAAAAAGGAAGGAAAAAAAGGGCAAAGGATATAAACACAC